AAGAGCATACATAAGGATATAAGTTCAGCAACATAACGACTCTACGAGTAGTGTAATCACTTAAACATAGAGTCGATGGTAAATAGCATAGATCATAGTACTAGCATAATACTAAAGATGGATACAGCTAGCCCTAGTCATGATGGGATGTGCCAGGGGGTGGTGCTGAGGAAGTGGATGCTCCCTGAAGGCGAGCCACCTATCGTTCCACATCTTGGAGTCGAGCCTCCCACCTTACCTGCCTCATGTGGAACTCTCGGATAACCTCTTGTGTCTCCTGCTCTGCATGCTCGACCCTGGTCCGCGTCTGGTGCATCTGATCAGCGGTACCTCGAGCTAGATCGCCAGTGTTCCGCAATCATCTCACCATGACCGGAAGTGCGCGATCAGCCGGTCCTCCCTCCCTCAAGTCATAGAACTCGCGTGACATGCCGAATGGGGGTTGCTGTCCCTGCTGTCTGCTCCACCTCTAAAGGTTGATACCCCAGGGGGGTGTAGGACCAGTGGGGCCCATCCGATGAGCGGGCACCCTAATCGGATAAGGGGTTGATGACTTTGGACTTCGCGTCCGAATCACCGTCTTCGTCATCGCTGTGTTCCTCCTCGAGGTCTTCTTCGACTTCCTCTTCTTCCAGGTCCACCACTGGCTCAGCAGGTCCACCCTCAACTTCTGCCTCGGGTTACTCTTCCGATTCCTCCTTGGGGTCTTCTTTAGGTTCCTCTTTGGACTCCTTCAACCACCCATTATTCCCCTGATCAGGGAAATACGGATCTCCGGGGTGATGGAAATCGGCCATGCAATCTGCGAGAGTGTATAAATATGCTAATATTATTCCTAAGATGTTTTAACTATTGTATAAATCGAGTTGATGTTCTCTTCTTGGTAATAAAGGGGTATGTTTTAGGTTTACCTGCCATCGCGATTTCCTCGGGGCATGTGATAGTTTTACCTCGGAGGAAATGTAGTTGATCAGACTACATTCACCCCTTAATACGACTATGAACAGTCCCGGCTTAACCGAGATGCTAGCATTATCTTATTTGATTTGGTATTATGTTATTTTTCCTATATCGTATAAGTAGGGGTGTTTTATCGTTGTGTTTTATTTGTTTTGTTTTGATCAGAGTTGTTTTGTCCCTCTTTGGTTTATAGTTGCATATCAATGTGTGGTTAGATATGCTAGTTCACTATAAACAGTGCTCTGATACCAATCTATCACACCCCCGAACCAAACGGCGGAAACGTCCGAGAGCTTACGTGCCTAAATTTGTTTTAACATTACAAATCCATAACATAAAATGTATACAAATCCATTGTTTTAACATTACAATGAATATACATGAATCATAACATAAACATCACCATACATCAATATATTACAACTGACATTGTTCACATCAAGTACATTGTTTTAACATTACAAATCCATAACATAAAATGTTTGATAGTTTTCAAAAGCACAACATACTAACATACTTGGTACTACTCCTCCGCTTACCTGCTACCTGAGAATACAAGTTATTTTGAAAAATGGTCAACATATAGAATGTTGGTGAGTTCATAAGTAGGTTTGATATGAAAAATGTTTTGTGTAGTTTGAAAGAAAACAACCTAGAAAATCCGATATTTTTTGAAAGACCATTGTTTATATAAAAGTGTGAAGATCCGTAAATATATGCATGATGATTTCAAAACGTGTATAATTGAAAAACTTTGTATTAAAAGTACCAGTGAAAAATGTTGAACTTCCCCGAAAAACCTGATGTTTTCCGAAAATAAAAATATCATATAACGGTTCGAATTGTAATCCCATCACGTGAATGATTTTGACTTACCTTGATTACTTGATTTATATTGGATTTATTTATGTGACTCATTATAACCATGCATGATAATGACTAGTTTGTCTGTCTTGGCACTCTGGTGAACGCCGGAATTGATCTTAAGATTTTGTCACCCTAATCTGGCCGAGTCTAACTGTAGCGAATAGCTGAGGTGTGGGGGAGTCACCCCCGTATAGATCTATACACAAACTCTCGCTCTCCCTCAAGGAGACTTTGATTATAACTACAGACTACGACCGAAACACGTTGGTGCCACCCATTATTACTCACTAAATCCCAATTGACTTTGATTACTATTGATTATCGACCCATATTTGTTTACTTAGATTGACGATAGGCCTATAAACGAGGAGAAGAGGATTACAAGATCCTACTATTCCCGCATATTATTTATGGCTATTGATTATACGAAGGACACGCTGGCACATTTCACATTTGATTTACTTGGACCTTACTAGCAATGCTAATGGGCCACTAAGGCCCAATAGCACTTAAAAGCCATTGATGGTCCCTTAAATATGAAATTGGGTCATAGAAGGCCCAATAACATTTATAATTATTCTTTGGGCCCAAAAATCATGTTAATGGGTCACAAAGGCCCAATAAGCATGTTTGGAACTTTCAAGCCCAAAGAATTTAATGTTTACTTATTTTAAGAATTGTATAATTGTTGGAAGGTTTGATTGAACGATTGTTCTTTTTTTTGTATCGACACTAGACCGGTCGATTTGTTTATAACGATATTTGGATTATACGTATATTCATCTCTCTATTTTCATGAGTTGTGACTTTTGGTATTTTTTACTCAAATATCATAGAAATAAAATGATTGGTTCAAAATGTTGGTTTGACCCCTTTTAGCCCTTTTTAATTAAAAATAACCATTTTTGGTCCTTTATACAAAAAGGACGTTTTAAACCCTTAAAGCATTTTCTTGACACATTTGACCTATAGGCTTCCTCAATTGATATTTTTAGCTCAAAACTTATTGTTTCGCAGTTTTAGCCCTTTCAGAAAAGTGATTTTCGGTTAAAGCCCAAACTTTTGCAACTTTTACAGTTTTGGTCCAAAATCCAAAAAGTTTACATTTTTTTTATCCTTTTTGGAAAAGAAAAGCATTTTAACCCTTGAAATAGTTTTATTTAACTCTTTATCCCATGTTTTGAGGAATTTATCATTTCAGCCCCTTGAAAATCATGTTTTTCGCAACTTTGGGCTTAATGGGCCGAAAAGCCCAAAAATTGGCCCATTAGGCTAATATTTACATTTCAAGTCCTTTGAAGAGCATAATTTTCCTAAAACATTTATTTTAATTGTTTTGACTCTTTTTACCTTCAAGAAACCGTGAATGGCAACTTTTCACCCAACTTATGTTTATTTGACAATTTAAGCCCAAAAATTGGTTTTAGGTTACAATATGTTTATCATAATCTTGGATGGTAGTTTTCTGTACTTGTTTAGTGTAATTTATCTTAGTTCATGTTTGTTCTCCTACTTATGCCATAGATTTTGTGATTTCTTCTCTTTTGTTGCATAGTCACAAGATAAACACTTACAATCACACATACATGCATAAAATCATACATAGCACACATATACACATAGATCTACACATTTTATTTGTATTCTCCCCCATAAAACTTGTAAAAACCGAAAATAGAGGGGTATGAACTCACCTTGAGTTTGTGGGTTCGGTTTTGAAGAAGAATGGAAGATGTTTGATGCTATTCTTGGCCTAGCAAGCTTCTTGGAGGATCTTTGGCTTAGATGTGCTCTACGATGCAAGATCACGAGTTCGGATTGATTAGGAGGAGATTTTTGATGAAATGAAGTAGTTAGATCATGGATTTAAGCATCAACTTACCTTATATGATGACTCTTAGGGAGAATCCTACTTGAAAGCTCTTAAATCTCGAAAATTTGATGAAGAAGTGAAGGAGTTGTAGTGTGTTCTTGAGAGTGTTTAAGTGAAAGAAAATTATGTGTGTGTGTTACTATCGGCTGAAAAAGAAAAAGAAAGGAGAAGAGAGAGAGTGAAGTGATAGGTACTTGGAAATATGAGATGTTGCATGGATATCCTATGTGCTATTGTGAGGTGGCAAGTAGAAATGTCAACTCCTTTCTCCCATTTGTGTAGTTGGGTCGAGAGAAGGAGAAGAAAGAAAAGAACCCAATTGGATGATTTTTGTCCCAATTGGTCTTTGGGGAGGGTTCACGGCCCAAAATAAGTCAAAGAATGAGTTTTATGGCCTTTTTAAGTTAATTAGATTTTTTATGGCTCATTAGTGTATTTTATTTCGTTCTAGGCCCATTATGGCCCAAAATGTTAAAATAAATGAAGGTGGGTCCAATTAGAGCCCATTTAAAAATTCTAAGCCCAAAATAGTCAAATTGGAAGGTTATTGGTCCATTAGGCCCAATAAGAAAATCCTAGTCCAAAATGGACTTAAACCGGAATTTCTAGGGTTTCCAATTCTTTGTTGACTATTTGAAGTGCTTGTATAGAGTGTTTGATGGGGATTTTGTTGTTATTGAATAAGCATCATACATGCTTTCACATTTTTGGTTACCAAATGTTATCATTGTTGTTGTTACAAAGCCTCAAAATTCCTAGTTGTGATAAACACTCACGGTGGTGGTTTCTTTAAATTTTAAAAAGTTAAAAGTATATTGTTAATTATCTAAGTGGATTATATGACGTGGCTCACAAAGAATAAAGATAAACTAATTATAAGTGCCACATCAGCCTTGTAATTTGGTAACTTACTAAATTTGAGCAAAATGGTTTAATTGATAGGTAAAACATGACTTAATTGGCCTCAAGTGCAAAAAAATTATATATGATTTATGATCACATATTCCGACGGGAAAGTCCACAAATGGTGGTATAGATTAACTTTTATTAATCTTGGACTTCTTATGGATCTTTCCTTATTCCCCTGTAGATACTTAACTCATTTATTGGAAAGTACTAAAGTTATAATGGAACTTCATATTTTATGAGATGTATCATCTTATTATGTCATGTGTGGTGTAAGCTTTAATACCACAACATAGATGAACTCTCCACTTCAAAATTATGTTTGTTCAAATTATCATTAGATGATATTAAAGATTCCAAAAGTGGTTGTTGAGTTTTAATTAATAAAGGTATCCCTCCAAACAACCATGTGCAATATATGGGAATTGAAACCACTAGTTACATCATTGTATCAAAACATAAAAGTATAGCCAAAATTCGCTAACTTAGATACAAATAATAAGTTTCAAGTTATACTCCATACATAAAGAGTATCACTAAGATTTAAACAATAAGTACCATCTAAAAAGATATAATGAAAGTAGGTTAGCACTTCTTTGTTTAACTCTTCATCATTCCCCACTTTCATTGCTTTTTCATTCCTATCAAGTTTTCAGATAGTATGGAATCCCTGTAATGCAATGAATATATATACCGAGGAGTTGAAGTCAATTCATTCTATATTTATAATGTATTTATAAAGACATCAAGATTAAGGGACTCATATATCATAAATATATATAATTGTATTTGTTATGATATGATTCAAAACAAGGTTGACCCTGAGGCTTACATTGGTCATCTCCTATATTAACCAATTAGTTGTACCTGTTGAAAGTGATTATTCAAATGATTTATGGGGATAACAAAATAAAGCATATCAGTATACCTATTATTAACACCAAAATAATAGGTTGTATATACACCTTACCCAATTATTAGTTTAGCTTTGGCTAGACTAACAATTGAATCTTATAGTGTCTTAAATATTGTACTAGGCCACATAAATATTGCAATCACCTTTGGACAAAAATACAATACTTATGTATATTATCCTTAAAATTCATTATATGAGTAATCATTCAATTAGCCTTTGGATTCATTGAATAATAACTCAAAACAAATTTTTAATGTGATATTTAATAAACTTTAACGCCAAACTTAAACAACCTTTCTTTGGTCGAGTCACTTAAGTCCAACATTAAAGTTACCACTAATCTTTGAGTAGGCAAGTTTATTATGTTTATAGATCATGGGCCAAGTTAATAAACAAATATGAAAACAAAATCCAATTTAGAATATTGATTGATAATTTTAATATTCAAGGATAGTATCCACAGAAAGTAACCATTTAAAAATGATAAACTAGGGACGGATGTAATAAACTCGATTTGTAATGAGTTTTCAATGGACTAATTTAAGTTCTTATGTCATAAAAGCATTTCACTAAATGAATTCCCATGAAAATCCCATCAACCACCAAACGCTGGCTAGATTTAAGACATGGTAATCCATAGGTGAACATAAATCCAAATAAAACATAATGAACTATTGGCAACATTATAAAAATTATTTATGTTGGTAACAAATCATTCTTGAATGCCTTTTGAGAGTTTGAGAAACAAGTTTCGCAATCATGGTAATTACAGTTTGAGCTTTATATTTCAACTGGGTAAGTAAGGCATTAATAAAACACTACTAACCGTGACATCTTTTATGGTTAGAAAATTAGATCACTAAAATTGACTATTTAAGCACTCTTGTCTTAGCAAATCTTAATATACCAACTCCTTAGTTTGTGATTATGAAACAAAAAACTAACTTGATTTATATCATACAAGGATTATAATTTTATATTAACACAATTTCGGATTGAAATCACCCTTTATTTTAATGTACATACAAACAGTTTTAGAAAACTTAGTGCACATATTCTTTTACCATCATTTAAATATAATTTCAAAACCAATAAAGACTTAAGGGTTCTGTTTTAAAATCTTGACAACCATAAGTGGGAGCAACACACTAAAAACAGTGGATAATCATACATAAAACCGCTCTGATACCACGTATTGAATTAAAAGGAATAAACCAAGATCAATCTCATACATAGCTAATAAAATAATGAATCAAGAATGAAGCTGTACTTACCTGGTATTTGTTAATTTTGTTGAGGATGATGACATTGAGTGATTTCTTTGTTCTTCCCATAATGGTGTTGTTCCAATGATCCGATGGATGGACCCATAACGTTGATACTAATGCTAATGGTGTTTTATAGAGAGCTCTTTAAACGTAAATAAGAGCGATTGAGTATCCTTTGATTCTTCACTTCTTGGCTGATGAAATTCATCCTTAACACCTTAAGGGAAATAGAATTAGAACCACATATAAACACATATAAACAGTCCCTCAAGTTACAAAGATATATCATATCCATCATAGTACATACGTGCATTCAAGTCTAGGGACTAAATTGTCATTATGGCAAATATTGTGGTACAAGTTATAGTAGTACCCAACATATAATAAACGTTACGAAATAGTCCTAAGGCCACATTACATGTTATTTTCCAATACATAATAATAAGTAGCGATAGGACATAATATAAATTGTCCTTAATTAGGTTTTTACATCAAATTTACCACCGTTATAAAGATGCCATTATTTCACAACGATAACAAGTCAAAAAAAAAAAAAAAAAAAAACTAAATCATATTCCAACACAATATTTACTCAGAACTATTGTTTAGGATATTCTTGTTTACAAAAATTAATATCCTTTACCTTCTAACTTAAGAAGTGCAGCTTCTTCAATTCCTTTTGCTGTTCTTTCTCCTGTGTATATGAAAGCTCCCTTTCCTTTATCTTCAGCAAATACAATAATCGTTGGGAACCCTTGTATCTTATAATTTACATATAAATCCTGAGAAAAAAATTAAGAATAGATTAGTAATATATAATAATATTAGTTTGAATTTCAAAAAAAGTTTAAAAACTCAGAAATTAATACATAGTTCTCTTGACAGTCCACTTCACCAAACTTGACCTTTCCTTCCAATTTCTTTGAAACCTTCTCCCATTCCGGTTTAAGCGCTTTAACAGCTCCACACCTACAAGAAAACGTACATATATAGATACAAACTTTTATAATTTGTTATGAGAAAGTAAAAAGAATAACTATATGTAGAAATTAAAATAATTAATTACTTAGGTACTCCGAACATGATAAACCAAATATCTTTGCTTTTCATAACCTTTTCATCAAAATTACTTTGAGTCAATGGTTCAGCATCAACGCGATTTAAATTTGAGGTGAATGATAAAAAGAAGAAAGAGATCAAGATCAACATATTTCCCGATGGATTCATGGTTGCGTTGTTGTGTTTGATTTATAGGTGATACGTGTTTTAAATAGTGATGACATATTGCCATGCAACGTACGTAATTTGTGGAAACATGGATGGTCTAGCAAATTATTTGCTGGGTCTTTATTAGCAATTAATTTGGTCACGTTAATTAAGCATACGTTAATGGAGTACCAAAGGAATGGATAGTTGTTTAAAAACCGTAAAATTTTATATCAAATAAATCTAATGATGAAACAAATATATTAATTTGAGAGTATGGATGCTTGTGCTAAATGGTTTTCAAAGGTTGTCAAAGAAAAGATTCATAAATTTACCAGTGTCATCATCCTTTTCTAAGGTTGATAACATGGAACATATTTGAAGCAATAATGTTTCCATTCAACATTCACAGGAACAAGACGAATCCAAAACAATATCGAAAGGGGTAAATTAAATCACATTATTACATCATTACAAATCATGATTACATATCACGTTATGATAGCAGTTAAGATAGCTGCTAATGTGATGCACATATCATATTCTAACAGATCTTAAAAATAACGATTCTAACTCTAATATAGCATTAGGTAAACATTATATGATGACAGATAATTGTTAGTGGCTATACACATTTTTGATAAATTCAAGTGAAGATCAATCCAATCAGTGAAGAAGATATGTGTTATTACTTAATCGAAGCTTCAATTGAACAGTTGGAGCGTCACACTTGGAGCACGATACTGAAGTGAACAAGGGAGAGAGTGGTGGTCGTTGATGCAGTAGCAGCGCCGACCAAATGTAGCGCCGATGGAAGACGGTCTGTGCGTAATGGAGACGAGACTACAAATGTAATTAATTTAAGGGCATTATTGTCAAATTACATATTGTAATGTATTAAATAAAAAGCCTTAAAAGTAAATCATATACTAGTATTACTTAGTCTAATATTATATTTGTATTCAAATTAGTGTTTGGTAAAATTAGCTGTTAGCTGGAAGCGGGTAGTGGTTAGCTGGTAGCGTGTACTGTCTAGCTGGTAGCTGGTAGCGGGAAGCTGTAGCTTTTATTTGTTATATGAATGTTTGACAAAAATAACCGAAAACTTTTGAAATATATAAATTTACATAAAAGTACAATTGATTATAAATAAATAAATATATAAATATATTTTTAAGGGTAATTATGGAAATTGATTTCAAAAGCTCATGAGCGTTTTGTTAAACGCTACATTAAGTAGCGTTTTGTTAAACGCTCGTACTGCCAAACGAAGTTTTTTGTTTAAACTAGAGCGTTTTATCAAAAACTAAAAGTTAGAAGCTTTCAAACGCTTCTAACAGCTCCGTACCAAACACGCCCAAAATACAAAATTGCAAAAAGACTAAGAAATAGTGATCTTATGGTTGTTGGGTAGAATGGGGCTTATGCCCTTTCTGTGGTCTGTAACATTATTCCCTTTTGTTGCTTTGCTCTTACTACTTCTTTGGCTAGCTGCCGGCTATTTTATCATGGTGTAATATATATATATATATATATATATATATATATATATATATATATATATATATATATATATATATAGCGCGGTTTATTGGAAGTTTAATGGATTAATGTTGTTCAGTGTTCAATATAACTATATTTTGTAATTTGTTCACATTCTAATAATTTAGTGTTTTTAGAAATAAAATAGGGTCTTCAAAACATAAATATTGACAATATACAACAAAATGAATAGTTTCTATGCAATACTTGCCCATCATTGGATACAAATCCTTAAAATAAAAAAAATCAAATAAAAATCAAACTAGGTTAGATAGATTGGTGTGTATAAAGAAATTACCTTAATATAATTAATTGGAAATATTTTGGTTGGTATAAAGTATAATGTTTATTAATGCAGTTTATCCCAAATTAAGGATGTTATTTTTAGTTTTTGAAATGTAATTAATATTTCTTTAAATTTATTAATGTGAAATTTAATGCAGTGACCATATTTTTATAATCATAAATATTTTTCCATTTTCAGCTAACATTGAAAGAGAGTTAGATGATCTGAGATTAAACTTTATTATAATGAGATTCCACCTTCAAATTCAATAAATTTGAAGTTTAATTACCATTAAACCCTTTAATATGGAAAAAGAAAGATTTTAATTCTTAAATATATATTAATATAAATTTTATGTTGTAGATTTTTATTTAATCTTATAGAGTTCATTGCATTTTAGAAAAAAAAAATTGATAGAGTTGAACAAAATATAAAAAAATTATATGACAATCCATTGAACTCTATAGAGTTTAATTCATTGTGAATGTTCACAAGGTGGATCTTAGGACCTACCTTTTTTTAAATATAACATATATATATATATATATATATATATATATATATATATATATATATATATATATATATATATATATATATATATATATATAATTTAGAATCTATCTTATTTTTTCTAAAATTACTACACTTTCATATTTTTTCAATTTCATTTACATAATTAAGAAACACGAGGTTTTTGGTTTTTTTTTTCAAATATTTTTTTCAGTGAATTTGTTAATAAATTTGCGATTTTTGTATATATAAAGTGTAACGCCCCGATTCTCAAGCATTGTTAATATGAGTTTTTGGATTAGGCCCTACTTGATGAGTTGGTTTACCTACTCGTCGAATAGCAGTGAGAAGGATCGCGGGTTAAGTGACCTACTCGACGAGTCCATATTGAGACTCGACGAGTAGGAGCTGGTAAGTGAAACCCTAATTCCCGAGGTTTGAACCCCTATTTAAAAGGAACCTAGCCTCCTTTGGACCTCCTTACAGTTCCAAAGAACCCTTGAGAGCCTTATTCGTGTGAGTGTGCCTTGTATGTGTGTTTAAAGCTTGAAAGAGAGTTCTTGGAGGGAGAAGACTTGGAGGAGAAGGAGGTCGAAGCAATTGGAGTGTGGGAATCAACACTCATCTCAGATATCAACTTCAAAAGATACCCAAATAGTCATTCTCCTTATAGATCTCCTTTATTGGGTGAGTTTTAGGGTTTTCATGGAATATCAAGTTAGTATGATGAGCTATGGGCTAGATCTGAAGTTGTAACTTCAGATCTAGACTCTCTTTGGATTCTAGAAGCATAAAGTTGTAGCTTTTGTCGTGATTAAGGTCCCCTTTGTGCATAAAGACCCATCAATAGATTAGATTTGCCATTTTGAGATTTTAAAGCCATGCATGCACGTAAAGTTTGCAACTTTACGTGATAAACATGCCCTTGGAGCTTGGATCTGTGATTTGTAGTCGCTGCATGACTCAAAATGGATTTGTATGGAAGAGGACTGAATAAACTCGGCGAGTCGCATGAAGATGGCCATTGAACTCGACGAGTTGGTTGAATAACTCGGCGAGTCGGATGAGTTTTAACCAAGAATATGTTCGCGAGTATATTCGTCGAGTCGTAGGGAGGGAACTCGATGGGTGGCCCTAAGGTCTGATTCAGATTCGAAGGAACTCGACGAGTCACCTTGATGACTCGGCGAGTTGGATTGTGCTACAAGGGACTCGGCGAGTAGCTGGGTGTACTCGGCGAGTTGAGGTCAACATGGACTGTTGACCTTGACTGTGGACTTTGACCTTGATCAGTGGTTGACTATTGGGTTATGGAGTACCTTATAAGGTTAAGGACTTATGCGTATATTGAAATATGGTTATAGGTGGTGGGCCTGTGTGGAGTGATCCGAGAGTTGGAGTTTACCTTCCGAGTCGACATCTGCGAGGTGAGTTATCCTCACTATATAGATAGGGTCTACGGCACCAAGGTCGACCCTTTAATTGTTATTTTTATGGTATGTTGCATGTGGTCAGGATTTGTTAGTTCGGAATCGAGGTAAACAGTATGTTATGGTTTTATGATCCGTAAGGATTGGTGTGATAGTGACCTGCTAGCTCGGTGCTCTAGTTACATGAGAATTCAATGATTGTGATCAGTGAGATAGATATGTTTGATGTTTGTATATGCCAGTATATGATAGCTATGCGCAAATGGTTATTTGCTTGTTGGTTGGGTTGAGGCGGCCCTGCTTTGTGCTGAAGGCCATCATACCCTATGAGCGGTCCGGGGAGACTGTAGGCCCACATGGCGGACCAGTCATGCCGAAGGCTCAAGATAGATCCAAACACACTGTAGGCCCGGTAAGGCGGTCCAGTCAGGCGAATGGCCCAATATGCATGTTGATTGATTGATTGATTATTATTGTTATGGTATTTTCAGTGTGGTGTTGGTATTTTGGGGGTAGCTCACTAAGCCCTCGAGCTTACAGTTTTCAGTTTACTGTTTCAGGTACTTCAGGAGATCATGGAAAGACGAAGGCGTGACCGTATCGCTCCTCATCCTTATATTATGATTTTTGGGGCACTCTAATGGAAAATGATTTGAAAACATTTTGTAAATTTTGTTTTTAATTTTCTTTTTGTTATTTTGTTATTTTTTAAAATAAAGATTATGTATGAGAGGCCCACCCCCATCCCCTTATTCTCACTTCCTACTCTTTTTCTCATTCCAAATCTCTCTGTCACACCTCTTACCTTGTCGGGCCACACACCTCATCGTTGTATCAAAGCAGAAAGTAGTCGGAAAAGGCAAGGCAATCGATGGTCAAAAAAACCCAGAAAACATGCCTAGAACAAACCCTAAGTTACTGCACGTAGAAACGTTGGAATCCTCCATCATCGGCAACCTTACACTCTCCGGTGACTCTTATCTCCTTCCTCTCCCTCTTCGAGAACTCCACAGATAGTTGAATGATCTGCTTGCCAACGAGAATTTAATTGACCATTGTGTTGGTATATGGGTTCGTTGAAGCATCACAACCGTGTGAAGTAAGACCGATTTCGGAACACATTTTTTTTTCTGGAACATCGATGCGGGTTCAATTGTTTTCTGGATTCATCCTTTCTATGCCCCCGATGACTCCTAGAACACAATTTTAAGGTGTGATTTGATTATTTTTTTCTCGATTGATGCAGGTTTTCAGAAATCATGTTTTAATTTTTTGGTTGAAATACTTAATTGAAATCATGTTTATTTTCCTGGATTTGATGGAAGTTTAGATAAAAACCAGTTTTTGTTTTTATTTTTCTGGTTGAATTCATGGATTGAAACGATTTTATGGTTTCTGGTTGAAAAAGTGTCGATTTGATGTACGTTTTGTTAGAAATCATGTTATGATTTATGATTTCATGATTCATGGAACCTCGGACAGCACATCCGTTCAATATTTTTCTAGTTTGATTTTGATTTTAGCTACAGGTTTACGAATTTTATTTTTTTTGGTTTGATTTTGTTTTGATTGTACATGGGGTTTTTTGTTCTTTATTTTTGGTTCAGTTTCAATTTATTTGGTGTGTTGACTGGTAGTGGTTTTCGGTGGTGATGTTGGGAGTTTGACGGAGGTGATGCCTAAGGTTATGGTGGTGGTTGATCACAGGTTGATGGAGGGGAGGGGTGGAGGGAAAGGGAAGGGAGAAGGAGTGTATTTGTTGGTGGGCAATATATTTATTAATTCATTTTTTATTTAATAAATAATAAGTAAATAATATAAAAACTGAAAAAAAAAACGAAAGGTAATATAGTGTTTTAAAGTGTCCAAGAGACGAAAAACATAATAAAATCAAACTATAAGGATGATTCGAATGCAAAAAAAAAAAGTTAGGGATCAAATACGTAATTTTGACCAAACCATACGAAGGATTTTAATAATTTGTTCTTTTAATAAGAATAAATAAAATTGTATATACATTATCCAACAAACAACCGTTGCTTGCTGTAATAAACAAACAAAATTGAATAAATTTCCATTGCTATTTTTAGAATGTAGTAAATTCTTTCAAAACACAAACATATTCTACACCCAAATGAGATACAAAAGACATTTTATTAGTGAACTACTCAACTAAACTTTTACAACATATACACATTACGTAACAACGGTTCCATTGTTTCACAATGATAAAAGCCAAATCGAGTCAAAGAAAAATCTTATTCCAACACATGTACTCCTAAGAGTGCAATAATTTGGATTGTAAATAATAACATAGGCTTAAAATATAAATTGTCCTTTATTAGGTTTTTACACCAAATTTACCACCGTTACAAAGGTGTCATTATTTCACAACGATAACAAGTAAAAAAGAAAAAAAAAAAAAACTAAATCTTATTCCAACACGATCTTCACTCAAAACTCTTGTTTAGAGATTAATATCCTTTGCCTTCTAACTTAAGAAGTGCAGCTTCTTCCATTTTAGGTGCTGTTCTTGTTCCTGTGTATTCGAAAGCTCCCTTTGATTTATCAGCAGCAAATGTTATAATAGTCGGGTAACTTTTTATCTTATATTGTACGTATAAATCCTGAGAAAAAAATAATAGATTAGTAATAATATGGAATAATACTATTTTAAATTTAAAAAACAAAAGTTTAAAAAGTCAAGAATTAATACATAGTTCTCTGCAACGTTCACTTCACCAAGCTTGATCTTTCCTTCCACTAACTTTGAAAACGCCTCCCATTCAGGAAGAAACGCTTTCTGTGTTCCACACCTGAAAGAAAACACACACACACACACACATATATATATATATATATATATATATATATATATATATATATATATATATATATATATATATATATATATATATATACACAATGTTTATAATTTGCATGTTATGAGAACGTAAAAAAGAATAAGTATACGTAGAAAAAGAATTAATTACGTTGGTAGGCCGAACATGATAAACCAAACATCTTTGCTTTTCATAACCTTTTCATCAAAATTTTTTTGATTCAATTGTTCAGGAGCAGCATCAACGAGATTTAAGTTTGAGGTGAATGATAAAAAGAAGAAAGAGATCAAGATCAACACATTTGCTGAGCGATTCATGGTTGCTAATGTAGAAATGGAAAACCAAAAAAGCCGTTGTTGTGTTTGATTGATAGGAGATACCTGTTTTAAATAGTAGAAATGCACGTAATTTGTGGCAACATGGACGGAGTAACGAATTATTTGCAGAGTCTATATTAGGAATTGATTTGGTCATTAGGCCTACATTAACGGAGTATCACTATATGGAATGGATAGTCTACTTTTGAAATATGTATTGTAGAGTTATTTTGACGGTAGATTTTTATATTAAATAATCAAAACTGATGATGAAACGCATATATATTAATATGAAATTTTTACTCAATAACTCTTTTATATTAATATAAACCTTTTAATTACTTAATAGTTTTTAATATATATTCGCTACAAGAAATCTGCACAATAAAAGTGTGGAAGGGGATTAGTGGCGACCCGCTAAAGCCGATGTCGCCATAAAAAATGTCACCGCTCACTGATAACATGTTGCTGCTAATGTTGACAATTGGTGGTCATGATTTGTTGTCAATTATAGGAACGATATGTATAGTGGCGACTATTTATCGCTGGAAAATTCCCCTCAATATGTCGCAATTGATGGACTTATTTGCTTTGATTTGAACAAGGTTAATTTTGTGTTGATTGTTCTTGTTGACTAATAAGCTACTGATTTCATGTGTATAATGCGTGACCGTGCTTAATGTTGTGTTAGTTCGCTCGGATTTGTGATTTTTTTTTTCTTTTTGTATATTTTTAGAATTTATGTATGTACACTACAAAAAAAAAAAAAACCAATTAGTGACGAAAACGAAATGATCACTAACAATTGAAGGAGTCGTCACTATATCACTTTGTGACCAGACTTTTGGTCGTCACTTGTGGTCACTATAGGTCCGTCACAAAAACTAATTAGTGACCAAAATATAAAAGCGGTCACTAAATAGTGACCAAAATATAATGGTCACTAAATTGTGACAACGGGTTTCGTCATTAAATATTGTCACTAATAATGAAAGGTGTCACTGTGTTATCTAATTAGTGACAATAAAAAGTCGTTACTCTCCTAATTGATTAGTGACCATAGAAAATCGTCACTGATTAATTTAATCAGTGACTATAAAAAGTTGTCACTCTCATCTGATTTGTGACTATAGAAAGTCGTCACTAGTTTATCCAACTAGTGACCATAAAAAGTTGTCACTAATTTATTTAATTCGTTATGAAAAAAACGTCACTATTTTTTGTTGCAATTTCTTGTATTTAACCAATTTAAGTAACTTTAAGCGAACCTACAATATAAAATACTGAAATGGTTAGAACATCATATGAATCTTAGAACAAAGTTAAGAACAAAAACCACCAAAATAGATTTCTAAAAGCAGTAACTTTTCCAATTCTAACCAGCTTACTCATTATATAAACTGTACACAAATAATAGTTACAAAAGAATGTGATATAGATTGTTATCAAGCCCTTTGTTTGGAGGCCTTGTGACTAGCTTCCTCTAAGGCCATTTTTTAATTGACTTTTGCATCTCTAACTGCCTACTTGCCTACAAAACAAAGACATCATTTAGGTTTTTCGTTTAATGAAAAGGGCATTCTTTTGTTTTGCACATGAAATGGTGGGGATGGGGGGTGGGAGTGGGGGTTGGTGTTACCTCGATTTTTGCTTCATAAGATGCAAATTCAGTGAAATCTTTTCTCCTTCATCACTAGTATTTTGGTCATCATCAATTTGGAAACTTTTAACCCTTATTTGAAACTCAGAGATAACACCCTCCACAATGCTTGAACATCTTTATTTAACAAAAAAAACCATATATGTGTTACCTGTAGGCATACAGTTGCATCCTTTTGCTTTCCATCCTCTTTGATCTCACCACGAAGCCCCCATTACTTAACTTGAATGTGAAAAACAAAACATGTGTATCAATGTATCATACCAATTACTTATCAAGCTTCAAATTACATTTCCCTATATAAAACTAATGTGCTGGGAACTACCCGTCCAGAACCTTTAATACACTCAAGGGGAAATGAAACACACCCATTTTTACCTTTCATGCACTTAAGGGTTAATCAAGAAGTCATTAGAACAAACAGTGAAATTCACCAATTTTCTTCAATGGTAGATCCATTTTCAATCTAAACACCAGTAACATTTCCATAAGAACCAGATTCCAAGCTTTTTATAGAAGCACCCTGCAAATGAAACATTATGTCAACAATTTAAGCATGTGTTGGTGTGGGGTAAAAGGGAGAACCCTCATGTGTTGGCTCAGCAAAGAATTGAACAACCTTGATAAAAGATGATTTTTTTGGAAATATGACTTATTGTTTGGATAAACGAGTTTTAGTTATGTGTTATACTGAATATTTTTATATAAAATAAAATATTTTAATGTGATACATCATCTGGGCTAGAAAATGATTACCTAATACTCGTCTAAAATCAAGTACACCTTTTAACAAATCACAATTAAGTCTTAGATATAGAAAATAATAGTAAACAAAACATAAATATTCATTATATCAAAAAAGAAAAACTGAAGTACCTTACAGAAGTTGAAGACCAAATTTAGTTCACAGATATTACTAAAGAAGTGATCGAGTATTATAACGAAATGGTACCATCAACATAAACTAGAGACCACATCAACATCACTGTGCAAAAGATTAATATTTTGTATATCATGGGCCATGACCATGTGCCTGAACAACGATACTATACACCACAAACAAGAAACCAAGTAAGCAACTGAAGAAAATAAATTAAACCCAATAGTATTCATATAAATCATTAATAGTAAGAGTTAAATAAACTAACTCTGCAGAGTACTAGAAAAGGTTGATGAAGAAAATCTTAATGTTGTCCAGTAATGTGTTATCAACATCAACCACAATTCTTGCAACTTTAGAGCCAACTTGTGATAGCCAAAAGAAATACAAGCATCAAAAAGACATGAATGCCATCCTCATCTTCATACTGAAAATAATACAGACTAAAAAAAGTATTGACAAGGGTAGAGTAGTCATTAGTCATTACATTGATTAAGTTTGACAACATTGTATAATCAGGTTCCTCTCTGTAAGCACCCATCAATGTAAGCAAAGAAGATAAAGGCAACTGGCCAGCCATAGACAATGCAAACGAGTCATCTAGAATTCCTATCAGTAAAAACAAAAGATTATAATAATAATAATAATAATAATAATAATAATAATAATAATAATAATAAATATATTATTTAACAATGTTTAGTTTTTAAATAAATTTGAGGATAATAATAATAAAATAGCAAAGATTACCATATCGATCCATGGCAGATAACTTTTTACTTTCAATGGCAGATCGTAATTTCCACTAACAGTAACTAGTTATCAGCTGCCATATCATGGGCCATGACCATGTGCCTGAACAACAAGAATGTACACCACAATCAAGAAACCAAGTAAACAACTGAAGAAAATAGTAATAATTAAAGAAAGAAGCACCAAAAGATTACATGTGTCATTTGTATGTATCATTAATCATGTCAAGCACATACAAATCATCCGTTTAATGTAGGACCAATGTCGCCCTAATCGTGCACACTCAGTTTATCAAAAATACGATCCAATTCCAATGGATACCATGCCTATTCAACATTTTGTTGATTTTTATAGTTCATTTGATGTTTGAACATGTAAAGATTTTGTTCACATAGAACTACAAATGTGAATCAGAAGCCCATCATCCCAAGATTTTAAATTGAAGTTTTCTTCACATATACAGTAATATGCAATCTCTTTACCCAATGAATTATATCTATAACATGATAAGAAACTTGACTAATGCACAATTAGGATAAGTTTGTTACACCTGGACTGAGTAAAATAAATTAAAGAGAGAGAGAGAGAGAGAGAGAGCTCACAAATTATGAACAACTGGAGATAGATATACTCATAATGCACTCCCAGTTCATGTAAGCATTTCATCAAACAGCTGTTGTGCACATTCTATTGAATAGGGAGAAGATGAATTGTGTCCCTAGATGCTGATCACAAGACATACATTCAACTGTCCATGTAACCTTCTTTCAAAATCTCATCCAATCGATGAAATCACAATGGGAAAACGGATTGAAATAGAGAAAAGAAGATACCAGAGGATATGGGGAAGGAGGTGGCGGCAGTCGCGAGTCGGTGGAAAGGGGGCGTAAGGACAAACATTGTCGTAGTAGAGTAAGTAAGTAAGGCTTTCTCCAGGACCATGATTTTTGATGAATTCTTCTCGGACTTTGTTGATAATGTGATGACTTAGGTATAGACAATGTTGGTTGCCAAGCTTGCCATTCTCCAAATCCTTGAAAATCTCATCTGACACAAAAACCCTAGGTAGTAGAAATTGGATTTGGCGATGATGAATTGGAGATTGGGGAAGGTTTAGGGCTTGCAGATGGTGGATGAGAACGACGGTGAAACGATGGGAGAGATTCGTTTGATCCGTTTATACGTGAAATGGTTTGCCTATCTTGTATTGGCACTCATATTTTAGGGTAAGTTACGTTTTTACCCTTGTAGTTTGATGACATGTGTTGCCGCTATGAAAGTAAATATAAGCTGGTCATTTTTTTAGAGTTAGGTGCTATGAATAAAAATTATATATAGTTGGTGACTGAACCTTTTTTCATTTTGTATTTCAATAACCATATTGTTTCGTCACAGTCCCTCCACATGACGTTTAGGTGGGTTTGAAAAGAGAAAAGTATTTAGTGACCATAATTTTTGGTCACTAATCCTCTAATGAAGTGATCATTTTTTTTTTGTCATTAGGCCTCCAATGCAGTGACCATTATTTTTGGTCACCAAACTAATTATACTATTAAAATATGATTTTTTTCTACGGTTAGTGACCGGTGAGTGACGACCATGATAGAATTGGTCACTAAACTTGTAGCATTACAAACATTCAGTGACGACTTAATAAATGATCACTAAATGATGATATTAGTGACTATATTTTAGGTGGTCACTAATAATTGGTCATTAAAAAGGAGTTTTCTTGTAGTGGTATCATCCACAACAGTAATATGTTTTTATTTATTTATAATTTTTTAAATTTATTATACAGGGAAAGTGACACAAAAGTCCTACAATGTTTATGGACTTTGTCTAATCTGTCACTAAACTATTTTGTTGCTTTATAGAAGTATAAGGTGAGCTTTTACCTGTTTATTTAGTCTTTCTAACCTAAATATGAATTGAGCATCAAGTTCATGGAGCATTTGGATCATATTCATGGAGCATTTGGAGCACTTGGAACTCGATGGAGTACTTGAGGTTCATGGAGCATGTAACAAAGGAACGAATCATCTAAGAAATGAATGGATCGTCTGACAAAGGAACGAGTCATGTGCCAAAGGAACAGATTATACAGAAGGGGGTTTGAAGCACCTAAAAGAGGTTTGAAGCACTTGGGAGTGATATGGAGAAACAAGGGAACCTTGGTGCAACATATGTTGAAGGGATGGTACAAGAAAGATGTTGTTGCACTAAGGGCATTCATTCTTGCACCATTAAGGGTTCCTTTTGCACCATAGGGTACTCCTATTGAGCCATGGAGTATGCTCTTGCACCATGCATGACCTTGTTATGCCATGTATGTTCCTGTTGCGCCAAGGTGATGTTGTTCCAATCCTGAAGTTCTTGCACCACACTTGAAGTCTGTTGCACCATCCATACACTTGGTGCGCCATCATGGTGCAAGTTGGACCATCTTGGTCCTTGATGAGCCAAATATGCTATAAAGCCCACTATGATGCTCAAGATTGTTCAAGGATGCTCAGAAGTTGGTATTGCTCATGGATTACACCATGATGGATATTAGGCCATTTGTTTTCATGATGCGCCATTTATATGTCTTGATGCTCCACTGTGGCACAAGGTGCTCCATCATGTGTGTTGCTGATGCCCATGTAACATATACAAAACATGGTCCCAAAAATTTCGTACTTAAAATTATTAATTAAACATGAGTCAAAAAGTCCTTTCATGAGTATGAATCAATGTATCTATAACAATAAAAATCAGAGTAAACATCCCAGGTAAAATTATCATGGTGTGTGCAATGCAATCATCCCGAACTCTTCCTTTTGCTACTGGAAGTACCGAAAACCAAAACTGAAAACCATAACCACAAAGCTTAGTAAATTTCCCCTAATCTACCACATACCATACATACAATAACATATATCGGGCCCCGCCCGGTCATCGGACCCCATCCAGCATCGGGCCCCGCCCGGTGAATGAGCTAAGCTCGACGAGCATACAATAGATATCAAATACCACATACACGCATGCAATAATCACATACATACACTAATCATTGGGCCTTGCCCGACATCGGACTTCAGCTCGAAATCATAATGGCACATACACATGCGGGAGTCACGAAGACAACTAGCATTCTAACATAGCATAAAAAAGGGCCGACCTTAGTGCCTTCGACCCGATAAACCTAGTAAGGAAACTCACCTCGAGTGTCAGATGATAGCTGAAAGCGCCTCTACTCCAGAATCAGCTCTACTCAGCCCCTACATAAAACAACCTTTTAGATACCATTCCATACTCATAACCCCTATGGGTCAACTTGCTCAAAGCCAAAGACAAAGTCAACATCCAAGTCAAAGTCAACGCTCCGATTTGACTCATCTCGTCGAGCTACCATTCAACTCAATGAGTTTCCGCAAATCATAGAATCGTGATAACTCGAATCGACTCATCGAGTTTTCCCTTAAATTGTCAAGTTCTTCCTTTTTCAATAGAATCGGGACACACCCAAATCAACTCGTCGAGTTTACCCGTGAACTCGTCAAGTTCTTAAGTTAGCTAACCCACTTAATGCATTAATCCATTATCCTTCAAATCCAAGTCTTATTTTCCAGATCTAGAATGGAAATGCCTCTAGAAGGGTAAAGTTTCCAACTTTACCCACTAATACCCATACTTAATGGGTTTAATCTCAAACCCTAATCCTTAAAGGCTTAAGACTTAATCCAAAAACCACAAAATCTTCAAGATGGAGCAAAGGAATAAAGATCTGGAACTTAAAGACTAAAGGTTCATGTAAAGTCTTCAGCTTTATCCACATGCATGGCCATTTGAAGCTTAAAATGCCAAACTAATAGCTTAGAGTTTTCATGGAGCTCCTAGGGCCATAAAGTTGGCACCTTTATACCATGAAATCCCCTCAAGACCCTAGATCTGAAAGGGTTGTTCATTTGGGACGTCTAACTCTCAAGGACCACATCATTTGAATAAAAACCAAGCAAAAGACACAAGAATGAAGATCTAATCAACTACAAGGCAAGTTTGGGACATGCTTACCCGTAAATCATGAGAATGAAGCTAGGTTCCTAGATCTAGCACCTCCTTCTTGAGTCCTTAAGCTTCCCTTTCCTCCAAGAAACTTCAAACACACTCAAAATGCTCAAAAGGCTCACAAACTCTCGAATATACCTTAGGGTTTCAAGATTAGGGTTTAGGATAGCGGAGGTTGGAAATAAGGCCAACTTATGGGGTTTAAGTTGTTTAAAAAGGGTGCAAAACCCCAGAATTAGGGTTTCATTTCTTTCATCCAACTCATCGAGTTGATCACTTGAGATATGTGGTCCGTAACATTTCAACACGATGAGTTGAGGGTACCAACTCATCATGTTGCTCTACAGATTTGAATAATTTAGAAGTTTAAGTAAATACCGGAAACCAGGCATTACAATTCTTCCCCACTTGACCCATACTTCGTCCTCGAAGTCCGCCACCCCAAATAATCATGGATAATGCTCCCTCATCTCCTCCTCTGGCTCCCATGTCCACTCCAATCCCTTGCGGTGCAACATTGCACCTTCACTAACTGTACAACCTTGTTCCTCAAGGTCTTACAATTTCGATCTAGAATTGCCATCGATCTCTCAACATAGTTCAGGAGGTCGTCCACCTGAATATCCTCCAAAGGCACAACTGTGGAATCATCCACTAAACACTTCCGCAGCTGAGAGACATGAAAGGTGTTGTGGATCTGACTAAGATCGATTGGCAGATCTAGTCGATATGCAACCCGGCCCACCTGATCCAAAACCATGAATGAACCAATGTACCTGGGGACCAACTTGCCTTGCTTTGTAAACCGGATGACACCTTTAGGAGAACCATATCCCCCAACTAAAACTCTAGGTCCGAACGACACTTGTTGGCGTAGCTTTTCTACCGAATTTGAGCTGTTTAGAGCTTGCTTCGGACCTGCTGGATTAACTCAATAGTCTTGAGTACCACTTTGGTACT